GACAAGGGTCCACATGGTGGGCAGCTGCCTGAAAGGCTGCACCCAGAGCAGGGTGACAAACAGCTCCTTTCCATCTGCCCCAAGTGAGGCATCCTAGGGATCAATATTGGGCCCAGCACTGTTTAGTATCTTAAAAAAGCAATCGTATGATGGAGTCAAGTGCACCCTGATAAAGTTTGCTTCCCCTGAACTCAGTAAGATATTGGATACTTTGGGATGAAGAGCCACCCTTCAGGAAGACCTGGATAGGCTGGGAGAGTGAGCTACCAAAACATTATGAAGTTAACAAGGACAAGAGTAAGGTCTTGGGAAAGTGTAATCCCTGAGTGCAGCACAGGCTGGGATCTACCAGCTGCTGGGGAGAAGCTCTAGAATCTGGGCTGAATCAACAAGGGCATCAACAGCACAGATAAAGATGTCATTATCCCACTCTACTCAGCACTTGCCAGACTACACCTGGCATAGTGAATTCAGTTTTTGTCCCTGCTTCACAAAAAACAGATGGGCAGCTGGAGAGGCTCCAGAGAAGGGCCATCAAGATGATCCAAAGGCTCAAAGCCTGCCACGTGAGGAAAGGCTTGAGAGAACTGGGCTTGCTCAGCCTTGAGATAAGAATGCTCAGGGGAGACCTGATGGAGGTAATGGTTCTAGTCTTTAATGGGTGGCTACAAAGAAGATGGAGAGTCAATTTTTAAAATGAGACACATGGAAAAGTCAAAGGGCAATGAGTACAAGTTACATCCGCAGAAATTCCAATTGGACACCAGAGAAATATTTTTAACAAGAACAACCAACCACTGGAATAATCTCCCAAAAAACATGGTGGATTTCCCAACTTTGGACACTCTTAAGATTAGTCTGGGCAGGATGCTGGACCATTTGGTCTGGATGATACTTTTGCCAAGAAAGATTGGACCAGAAAATTCTTCAGGTCCCTTCCAACCTAGTATTCCATGACTAATATTATAGACAGAAAATTTTACAAGGTGAAGGGGAAAAAAATGATGTATTTTGAGACTTTTATAAATATAATGAAAGAACAAAGTTAAAATTACCTTATGAGCAGCTAGAAAAACTTCTCAACCTAAACCAAAGAAAAATAATGTTCAACATATTTCAATATTTATTTATACTACTGTATTCAAGCTCCACGTGCCCTACACAAGCATGACAGATTTCTACTGTATCAGTCAGAAATCTGGAATCTCTAGAGCAGTTTTTTGCTTTAACAAACTAGGATGTTACTACAAGTTGCATCCGTAATAGGAAGACCAGGCAAATAATGTGTACACATAAATGTGCATGTTCTTTCAATAAAATAATTTGCATAATTAATTTACTATACCTAGATAGCAATTCTTCAGAATATTGCTGAAAAAAAAATCAGAAGGTTTTGCAATTATAATAGGAAAAAGTGAGAAAACAAACTAAATATGCCTTTAATAAATGAAACCATTTTAACATATTTTCCAGTATCCTTGATTTGCAATGACTGAAACATTATATTTTCCAGTATCCTCAGTTTGCAATGACTGAAACAGATATTTTGCTGGTTCCAGTTCCATTCAGCCAGTTCTTTGTGCTGTCCACAAGCCTGTCTGCTGGAATACTATGAAGATGAAACAGTAACAAAAAAAAAAAAAAGCAAGTATTTAAAAGCAACAGAAAAAATAAGTCTATGACTATCACTTGCACCAACAATGTTGGAATTTGAGATGAAAAATAGAATAAATTGTTTTTACTCATATCAGAGAAGGAAATAAACTTGGCTGGAGACAGCTGTTGTAAAGTATTTTTGGAGCAAATAAAATAGATGTGAATGAAAAAAAAACCCCACCCAACCTGTTTTCTAGAAAATTTTCTAAACAAGCAAGTCAGGTAAACTCTTCAGTAAATGTAATGTAACACAAACTGTGTGCCACAGCCCAGAGAACACAGTTTGAATGCTGGGAACAGAGTGGGAGACACCTGAGATGGCTCTGTTAAATTATGCAAGAATCTCAGCTATGCACAGCAAAAGTGTCAGTGTCAGGAGGTGAATAACACCAAAGCAGTTTCTAAACACACACAACTAAACATATTTGAATCAGGAGTTCTCAAATTGTCCCGCAGGGCTGGCCACACTTTGAAGAGAAACTGGCTCAGTTTCACTTCCCATTAATGATCATATAATATCTTTGTGCCAAATACAGCAATTGCCTGCATGGAAAAATAATTTTAGGAAAGTATTTAATATGCTTTTAACTGCCTTGTAAAAACAACTTAGCAACTGAAAAGAGAGATGCCAACACCTTGTGATGGGCTAAATCTTTAGAGGAAACCAGGAAGATTCTGTGGGTGGAATGTGTACAGTGGTATGCAGACATGGTACCACCTGAGAGGTCTTTCTACTGTTGCCTCCCCCTGAGAGAGATGTAGGATGCTGCCTTTGCAGATTTCCAGCCATGTCAGCAAGACAGAAGAAAATACTCCAGACATATCAGTCATATCTGAAGTGTTTTGGGGACCAGTGTGTCTCAACAGCTTCTGAGGTGTCTTATTTCTTCCCACCATTTTCCACCAGAAAAACCTCTGGGAAGAAATGAAAAGGAGCAGGTCATCCAACCTGCCTAAATTTACTTCCCTAACCATCTTTTTCTAGTCTGGCTCGTAGACTTTCAGACTTGGACTGATTTAATGATTTTGAGATGCTTAGTTCTTAACCAAAGTCATGTAAAAAAATATTCTTTGAAGATGGCTTGGAAAAACCCCTGGGTTTGGAAAAAACACTGACCTGTGGAAAATTCTTCCTTGTCTCCTTAGTTTCATCATGTTTGCTGTTACTGAATGTTCAGCTTACAGGAGTTTCTTTGCTTTGGATTTGTGGAGAAAACACCCTTTTTCAAAACCAATAGAGGGCTCAACTCACTCTTGCCAAACCCTACAATAGGAAAGCAAGGATAATACATGGATGGGCACAATGGCAATTCATCTTTCTGACTGGAAGTCGTGTTTTGGAGTTCTGTTGCTTAGTGTCTGTCAGCACTTTCATCCTGGAGAATTTAAACTTCTCCAACAACAGCCTGACGCAACTAAAACTTTGCATATAAAGTATCAGAACTCAGAACTATTTATTTTTAACTTAATTTTCCAAATGGGGTTAAGTCTTAAGATACGAAAAAGTACTTGGGTGCTGCTCAGCATAACAAGAAGGAAATTATTAGCTTGGCATTTGTTTAATCTTGTGAAACATTTCTTTAAAAGGACAGTGAGATGAATATCTAAAATGTGATCTCAAAACCCACAAAAATATGTATTCATCCAGGAACTGAGCTACATTTGATGTGTCTAGCTTTTCTAGGCACTGTAATTACTCTACTGGCTTTGAGAATAACTTATTCAAAAATTAACCATGTATGTTCAACAGGTTTCCTTTCAGGAATGCTTCAGCTGCTGATGGATCACAAAAGGAAGGACCATATCCTGTCTTTGAAGATATGGATAAAAGGGAAGTAATTGTTAATGATTTGCTCATCTAAACAAAAAATGACTGACAACATAATGAAATCCTGTAATCATGTAGTGTGTCAAATACTGCAATTTTAAACTGAATAGGAACAAATGTCAAAGGAAGCTGAATGAGAGTAGTTGCATTATACACTACAGAACCATATGTCTAGTAATAAAAGACATGAGAGGAAACTGTAAGGAACTAGTCTTCTGGAACTGCTTATGTATTGCAATGAATTTTTGGCACAATTAAGCACTTCATTCAAAACGCTGATTGAAGACAATGCTGAAAGGCCTCTCTCAGTGCAGGAGAATTACAGCTGTCCAAAACCACCTGTAATGACATATTTTGAAGAGATTAGCCAGGAACTAGTATCAGTACAGCATGCTGTAGCACTTCTGCAGGCTGGCAGTCCAGTGCACTAAAAGCTGAGTTGCTTTGGATGTTGGACAGCACTGCTGTAGCAAACATACGTATTTATAATACCAGTGTATTCCTTTGCTTGGAAAAGACTGAAAGAATCCTTGCCATATTTTATATGAAAAGCAAACCCATTAAGAGTAGCTTCACCGAATTAGTAAAGTCTCGTTCTTTCGCACACAAGTAGGACTGTAGCCTCTTCTTCTGGGGAAGCCACCCAGCCTGCCAGCAGCCAAGCCCTGTCCATCTGTACCGCACACCTTTAATTGTCCCGCTCCTGGGCCTGGCGCCCTCCCGGAGCCCCGCGGTGTCCCCCGGCCGCGCAGCCCCGCAGGTGCCGCGTCAGGCTGCGGGCACAGCGGAGGGAGGCACGCGGACCCAGCCTGAGGGGTCGTGCCTGCTTCAACACTGAGCCTTCAGAGCGAAACAAAACAGGAGGAAACAAAACCCAGCAGGCGAAGCAAACCGAAGTATTGTTTTCCCACCGTACCTTTTCAGGATATTTTCAATAAGCATTAGAGGAACATCGTCGCATTATCGCAAAATAGTTGGATCGCAGTGAAATAATGTGGTTCACTGCTAGCATGTGCATTAAACAGAAGGCACGGAGCTGACAAATGAATTAATTTGCTTTGTCACTACTCCTTCCCGGGCTTGGACAAACAGCTGCTGCAGATCGCTGCTGTTCGCCTGTGCACAGCCCTGACCGATGGTTGCCAACCTTTGCCTGCAAGGTCTGAGGGCTCTGCTGCTGAAATGGTCCAAACAAGATGCGAGTTCATACATCCAGCAAACAGTTTTAGAAATTTTTCAGAGAGGAAAATATGTGCATGCAAGGTGTTCTAACTCAAAGACTTGAAATACATTGGCATAAGAAATAAACAAAAATAGGAAGAAGCTTAACAGCACAAATGGTAACTGTGCGAAGAGCTTTGCATTCGCTTTCGGGCAGAGCCGTAATGAATTTTTGGCAGCCCCGGCCCGCACTCGGCGGGCCATGAGGGGGCTCATCCCTCAGGGGGCTCATCCCTCAGGGGGCTCCCGGCACGGGCCCCGCGGCGGCTCCCTGGGCCCCGCCCCGGTGGGCGGCGCACGGCGCGCCCGGCCCGGCCCAGCGCGGCGGCGATGCGGAGCCGGGGCGAGCGGAGCTGCGGGTAGACGGAGCTGAGCCACACTCGCCTATCAGGCCCGGCTGCAGGTACGAACCGCAGCTCCGCGGGGGTCCGCGAGCTGGCGAGGGTCGCGGCAGGGGGCTCCGAGCCTCTCCCGGCGCGCCGGAGGGATTTTCCGCGGAGGGGTCGGCGGGCGAGCGAGCGAGAGGATGCGGCAGGTGCCGGGCTGTGGCCGCTCGGTCCCGGGGGCGCGGCGAGGCGCCGGTTCCAAGAAGGCCGCCGCCGCCTCCCCGGGGAGCCCCCCGGAGCCGCTTCCCTGCCCGCGGGGCTCCCTGGGGCGGGCGGCTCCGTGCGGCAGCGCCGGGTCCCCGAGACCCCCCCGCGGGCAGCGCCGGAGCGGGCGGGGGAGCTCACGGTGGATCTAATCACGGCGAGTGCTCCGGCTTTTAAAACCTGCCGGGCTGCCGGGATTCGTTGCGCAGAGCTCGTTCTGGCAAGTAATGGATGTGACTGAGCCATTAAGGGACACCGGGCTGCGCAGCCGGGCTCTGGAGACTTATCAACTCCAATTTATGGGGTATCGGGAACAGGAGGCGTTTTTATGAATTGGCTGGAAATAACTTAATTCACCTGTGAGGCCAGCTCCTGTTAATGCCTACGTTTAATCTGCGTGGAGCAATAAGTAGCTATTAATTTAGCGTGTTCCGTGTGGAGAAGGTAGATGATATCTGAGGAAAGAGCTGCGAAGAGCAGTAGGTGCCTTTGCATGCTACTTGTGTGCTTTCACTTCTGAATTCCTAGCTTTGTTTTATTTTACCTGTGTTTATAACAAACGTGCCTTTCTGCGCTTCCAAAGCTTCTTAATTGATTTGATTTCTTAAACAGCCTGCCATATCTTTGCTTTTTATTCCCTCTAAATAAACTGTAGAATAAATTCAGGGGCAGTAGCTTTCAGCGATCATAGAATCAGCAAGGTTGGAAGAGAGCTTTAAGATCAAGTCCAATTGTGAACCCATCAACACTATCACTGTAACTCCTAAAGCACTAAACCATATCACCCAGCACCAGAATTCTTCCCTTTGAGGAAGCCTAAACAGTCTGGACAGTGGTGATCAACATCATTAGACCTCATGGCTATCTTTGGTAGCTGAATTCAGAATTTGTTTTTATAGTTAGGTTTTTTGGATGAGGTCTAGAGTTCTTATTTTAAGTTTACTTAGATCAGGAGCCTTTTAATGAGGCATGTTGTTTTGTAGGTGTTCATTTTAAAATATAATAATTAGAATTTTGGTATGAAGTATTATCATCCATCTGGTCTCTTTTATGCAGAGATGTTATATCTTGGCCATTTTTATAGAGATATCATACTTAATTTACTACTAGGTTATTCACTTGCTGAAAGTATTCTTTGTCCTTATTTGATGTGGTTGATCAAATCTATAATCTCACTTAGAATTAACATTAGGATTTTGCTAGATGTCCCTGTTTGGATTAAGATTTTTTGCATTCAGGGTGTGTGATTGCATGTGGCTTCTAAAAGCTGTCTTAAAGCAACAGTGAATTTAGGGTTTGTGATTTAATCATGCAGAGTTAGGAAATGAGTGAATGAGAGTCGTCAGTTTCAGCTGTGCCAGTTTCTTCATCTGTATGAAAAGGAGTAAAGCAGTAACCCAAATGCTGAGGACTTGATTTAAATGATTTCAGACATCGACTAGGTTTGGACTTTATAGTGAATGTGTTTATATTTACATGTGTACACTTAAAAGGAGACGGGAAATCCCAGAGCTGCAGATTGCTGTCAGCTGGCAAAGTACATCAAGGAATGGTAGCTGTATGTTTACTCTGTTCTTTTTCTCTATGCACCCACTAGCAGTACTTATTAGACACAGGATACTGTGTCAGATGGACCTTGAACCTGACTTAGTATTGCAGTTTTGTGTTTGTAATAAAATGTTTTTGTGTAGGAGCATGTAGGAAGCTAAATTTTAAATTAGGCACGTGTCAGAGCTGTTTTTAAAGTACAGTTTTTAAAAGTACAGTGTAAAAGTCAGTACCAGGTACGGAAAAAGCAGGCTAAGGAATGTGCTATTACTTTGGAAGTTTATTTGCTTTTTTGTTAACATCCCAACACCTGATAGGAAATGGTCACAAGTATGTTTTCTAAGTGGCAATTTCCAGTCCTTTCCTGAGTGCCTTGCAGGAGTACTGTGCTTCTCACGAAGATGATGTGAAATCTGCTGCAGCTCCCATCTTAGGATGTTGCAATGCTGCCTTTCACTGAAACTCCAGCCATAGTTCTGCTTTCATGCACTGAATCTTCCCATTCTGTGTGGCAAGCACCTGGGCCACCCGTGAGCCTTTCATTTAATTCTAGCCTGTGGAAGGGAGCAGAATGGGTCTATAAAAACTCATTCAGTAGTATCTTCCCTCCAAACTAGTTCTTCTTTTTAAGTTTTACTGTGGAACTTGCTATGATAATGAGTAGAAGCAGGAAAAAAATCCAGTCTTGCTGCTAGCAAAGTATCTGTTAGTTGCCTTGTAGAGTATGTTTTGGAAAGTTGTTGCAGTGAGTTAAGCAAGTTTGACCATCTAGAACTACATGAATTATGTGTAGGAGTTATGAAAGCTTCCCACATAGCTGTGCTAATGCTGTTTAATCCCAGGCTATGGTGTGTGTATTCTTCCTGACCTCATCTCCTGCTTGCTGCTGGCTTTTGTTTGTTAAAGAAAAGATAGAGTATATTAAATTGTGTCCTGCTAATTTTAGTCTTAGAACTACAATAATAAAGCTAAATTTATTTATACCTGCTTTCAGTGGATTGTGGACATTTCTATCACAAGTGATATCATATACTTATCTAATACAGTACCTTGCCCTGTATTACAGAAATAGACAGAGAGCAAACATTACTTAATACACTTCAAATAACTTACACTGCAGTATCCTTAAAAGCCCTTGACAGTCCGGACCACTAGCTCTGTCCCGTGTCATGTTGGCCATATGGCAGTTCTGAGAACAGCTCTGATGCCATGTTTTTGTATTTTACTGAATCGTTTTTGAGCATTACCATGAGGTGGTCAGTAAAGTTCATTGACAAATGAGTTTTCAAAGACAGAAATAGATGATAGATATATTGATATGCTCTTTATTTTAGGTGACACTCTTGCATTTAGGGGAAACCCATCAGAAATTAAAAATAAGGCATGTCTGAATATGCACAAAATTTTGATGTTCTTGAATATCTGCTTTCATTATGCGTAACTACCAAAGAACACAACTTGAATTTTCCCCCCCACCTTTGTAGGCTAACAGATTCCATGTGTTCTTAAGCAGTATCATTAAGCAGACTAGTCTTTGGGACTCCAGATTTTGTCCTGAAAATGTTTTATCAATCTACATTATGAATCATGGCTAGAATCAATGTTATCTCACAGTTGTAAGCTCTGAAGAAAAGATGAGCTGCTAATGTAAGAGGGTTTTCAATCTCTTTAATCTCTTGGAATCACATCTTGCTACAGTGGCCAACATTTTTTTTTTTTTTTGGTCAGTGATGTAATAAGCCCGCAGCAAAAAGCTCACGAAATGAACTCATTGTTTCTCTCCTCAGTGACATCAGTATTTAAAGATAATAGCTGAATCAGTCCATAAACTGTAACTACAAACTATATTAAAGAGGAGTTATATTATATGAAATATAAATTGGAGATAGGAACTGTATTGTAGTTTGCAGTGTGCAGAGGAGATGGTGACATATGAACATGGAAGGAACAGGCCTGCCTTGATCCTGGTTTGACTGCCAGGTGCTTGCCATGCACACACCAGGTCTGCCCCTGCGTGTGTTCCATGGTCTGCTGCTCCAGTTCTGCAGTTGATTGCCAAAGGGAGACCTGGGGTGTTCTCACTGTGTAGGACCAGTAGGCAGTGCATAATGGACATTTGTTTGATATTGGTGTGCACAGACAGTTACAGTCTAAAGCTTATTGCTAACTTTCAAAGCAGAGTAATTTGCTATCATGAAGCAAAGAAATGAGCATCTCTACTACAGGCAAGAAGGGCTTTTTAATGTGAAGACATTCAGTGCAGCGGTAGAAGGCTTGCACCTAAAATTTTGTATCAGAATTTGCATATTGTTCATGTATAAAATGGGATTCTATGTCTGAAGTCTTACAGGTGTTTATATGTTAGATAAAGCTAACCTATACCCATTTTGAAATAATTACTTTGCTTAATTATAATTTTAAGACAAATTTATCTAGGACAAGTGTGGAAGCAGAATAAATATGCAATTTAAAGTCCTCTCTCCCCCCACCTAAAATAAGTCTTTTGACTTCTCTTGTTTCTGCAGAGTTTCGTAGAGAATCAGATACTTGGAAGTTAACTAATTTAAATTTATTCTCCTAACAATTATAAGGAAAAAATGCAACTATGTACTATGTCCAGTACTGACTAGAATGTCATATTACTATTACCTTTTCCCTTTTCTTTCAGATTCCATAGACTCTCAGCTTGGCAATCTGAAAAATGCATTATCTTATGCTGCTGTTGAAGTGAAAACAGTTATCCAGGTAGGACTCCCTTGTGATGACTCTTGCTCACTGTTTTCTGATACTGAATTAGGCTGTTGCTTGTTTTCTGCCATCCTGAGCAATAAATAGATGTGTGTAGATCAGTATTAAAGACCAAGAATAATTTAATATCATGTTTAGTATTAATAAATAAAGTTGTGAAAGTGTTGTACCATTATGTGGTATAAGTATTGTGTGTTGTCTAATTGTGTACTGCTTTATTGTAAAGACAGCTTCTTTTTTGAGTCAAGCATGACTAAAATTTCTTACATTATTTCATCATGTATTTTAGGAGTTTTGAAAAAATAAGGAAGTATTGCAAATACAGCCAACAGTAGTTAGTGAGGACTGACTTCGAAACATGTTGCATTATAAATTGTGTAGCAAGTTTAGGCATAGAGTAAAACTGCATCAGAGCTATTAATTGTGTCTCCGTTTGAGAACACACACATCCATGTATAAAAAGAGCATAGAAAACCTTCATTGCTTTCATAATGTATTGTTTAGTGGATTGAGCTTGGTTTAGCCTGTGAAGCTGTTCTGAGAGGAACAAAGTAGTTTCAGATACGAAGTGCAGAGCTGCTGTTTCACAGACAATATGCCAAGAATGCTATCTAAAGAAACAGACTTGACATTGCTAATTATACATGAGAGTGAAGTATATTTATTTCACACATTGATGTGACCGAATCAGAAGCTTCATCTGGCATATGGGGAGGGTTTTTTGTGGTTTTAAAAAACACCTTACAAGTTCAGCTGATAAAAAGCTTTGCTTATTTATCACGGTCCAGGAGAGTTGGAAAACAAGAACTAAATCTGGTCTAATTCTGAATCTAAAGAAACAGTCCTGAATTTCTTCAGAGATTTGACAGATACAATAATGAAGATTTTCAGTGTCTTAACAAATACTGTGATAGACGTTTTCAGTGAATAGCCGTTCACTGAGCAGTTAATTATCTCATTGTAATCTGGGTCATTTGGGAAGCTGTGAACACAGTTAACTTCTGTGTTAGGATTGTATTGTAACTGAAATGTGCATGTGGAAGGAGGAACGCCAAAGCTGCATCATCTTGAAACCAGCAAGGCTGGAGAAGTGACCAAAACCAACCTCTCAATGAGCAGCTTGCTCCCTAGTTAAGGTGAATGAAGGCTAAAGCTTAACGAAGGTGTGAAATCTCTAATATAAATCGTATCTGAAAATCCTTGCTCCTCCCTTAATGCTTTCCCTCCTACCAGCCCAAGGCAGTTAGTGCAGCTCCCACCAGGACAAACAGCAGCCCTTTGTTAGTTGTCTTGCCTGGGGCACACCCTGTCCTCACACTGCTGCTGCTCTCTTGCCATCTGGGAACCCCAGAGACCCTGAAAGGAGCCTTTTGCTGCCTAGTCTCCAAGATTAACTGATTCAGTAAATCTGTGTTACCGCCAGTATACATCGAGCTAACCTGTAACTTCAGTTCCAGCATTTAATTTCCTGTGGGGATGGAAACATCCAGTACCATAGCTTCTAGGCTTCTTACTCAAAGATTGGTTACTTCTCCAAGGATCCAAATCTGTGACTTTAAAACATCAAAATTACACGTGCTAGAAACTTTGTCTTGGTATTGAAATGACAAAAACTACAGCCCAACAAGTCTGAAAAGGCTTGAGCTGCAGTGCGTGACTCTCTGCTTCGAAAGCTTGTCTGAGTGTTTGAAATGTGATACAGACAGTGACTTGGACCACCTTCCAGCTGCCTCCAGCAGTCTGAGCAAGGGTATCGAAATGGCAAGCAAACCTCAGAGGATAAAACTGTGAATGGCATGCTTTGAGCCAAGTGCTGGAGGGTGCCTTTGGTCCCTCATCTGACTGCTGTGAGAGTCATGTGTCTGTGCTGTGGAACCTGGTGAGACACCCTGTGTGCTTCCCAGGGAAGACTGGCTGCCTTCAAGAAATCTTAATGGTTAAAATGGAGAGCAAAAATCATGTGCAGCAGCTGAGTACTGGAGCAAGATAGAGATAGTTGTCCAGCAAACGCATTTTTATATTGAGTGTAGAAAAGACAGATTTTTTCCTTTGTTTAGAACCATGGCTGCAGCTTGCAAATGTAGATCGTTGAATGTTGTTGTAGTCTCCAACTGTTTAGAGATGCTGGAAGATGCTGCTTCTACTGGATGGCAGGCATGCTTTCAGCCAGACTGAGGGAGAAGCTGTCACTGGAAACAGCAGCTTTCTGGACTGCAGCAGGAGAGGAAAATATCTTCCTGAGCAGTTAGATGTGCGAAGTTCTGCTGTGAGTGCCACCAGGGAAGGATTCACAAGGTAGTTACCAGAGGAGGAAAGTTAAAAGGGACAAGTTACAAGTGACTTACTGGGAGTCAAATGACCATATTGACAACTGGAGAAAAGCTGAAAACTTCATTGTGCCAGCTGTGAGGGCTTTTCCTTTCCAGAAGCTATAGAAACTTTTCTAATGCTATGTACTGTATTAAACATTATCTCAACTCCCAATTTCATGACGTATGCATTTATTACTTAATGAAGATAGTGAAGATTCCTTCTCATTAGGGCCTTTTATTAAACTTGGTCACATTGATACATTAAGACTATTAAATACCTTCTTTTACAAAGGAAAAAAGCTTGGGATGGGAACAGAAGGGTGTTAGAAACCAATATAGAAATTTGTCTGAAAAGAAGTCTCTTCAACTGACATGGCTGTGGAAGAAGATGTTAAATATTTTAGGTACAGAAAGACACTCTAGCAGAGCTGTAAAACATACTTTTTTGTAGATACCCGATTTAAAGAGTCATGTGCAGGCATTAAAATGACAAATATTTGGATTTTGAGAAAAAACAAGCCCACACATTTCACACAGCACAGGAGTCTTAGGTAATACCTGTTAGGAAAGGTTTGCAAACTGAGTAACCTTTTCTCGGAAGCTGGCTGATCTGCTAATTATATTTAATAAGTCATAGAACACCAAGGGAATGTAAGAAATTTTGCCAAATGCTCTTTTTCTTTTAATATTTAGAGAAGAGTTGTCTGGGGTGTGTGTGTGACCCAAATCAGTTCTGGTTGGTTATTATCACCTTAACTGACTGTAAAAAGTACAGAGAAACATAACCAACGTGTCATATGAGGATGGATCATCTCAACCCAATAACTCTATCCCCAGTGGTTCACTTCTGGGTCAGCAAACCAAAGGTGCTGTTAGCTTTTTCTTATGGTCCAGAACTAAAACATGCTGTAGGAAGATAGGTTTAGGTAAATACACTGTTTCAGTGCTCTGTGAATAGAGGCAGACAGAAATTGTAACACAATGTTTAATTCTGTAGCTTTGTTGTGTAGGCGAACGTGTAATCAGTGATGGCTGTTGAGTAAATGTCATTTCATTAATGTTGGATTTGTATTTTACTCCTCAGACTTTCAGCTTTACCTCACTATTTAATGAATTACAGATAGCTGTTTTGACTTCCTGTGGGTGATAGCAATTACACTTGAAAGAAAACAAGAGGTATTCTCGTTTCTTTATCCAAGGTCTGAGCTCACCATTTGAAGTGCTGCTAACTTACATCAGGGAGTTAAATGTCCTACCTTATTAAATCACTTACTCTGTCTTCTCTAAAGCTTTCATTTGGCTTTGATACAGCATTAATATTTAAAATGTATGTATCAGTTCAATAGGCACATGCATTACTTGTCAAAACACTGCAGCTTATTAAAACAAACCTGCTGTCATCACAGGTGAAAGTCTTAGAGTGACATATAGTGCCAGGAGGTGTGTTGTACATTTTCACAAGCTGTTCACTTGGGATGGTGGGTACTTCAGGAAGAAAAAACCAAAGCTGTGGATGCCTCATCCCTGGCAGAGATGGGATCAAGGCTGGGTCAGATGTGGTCATAAATAACCTCATCTAGTGGGGGGTATCCCTGCCCACAGCAGTGGACTTGGAACTCGGTGATCTCTTAGGTCCCTTCCAACCCAAACCATTCTATGATTCTATGAAAAAATCACCTTGGTAATACGAATGGAGTATCTCCAGACTGCTGACAAGAAAACATACATGCACATTAATATGGTCTAACAATAACAGACCATAGTAACAGGGAAGTATTAAGTAATTGGGCCTTCTGTTCAGTGTGTCTGTATGAACAGTTTCTACTGTGTCAGAGCAGCTACGTTTTAATTGAGATCTCTTACTTTTGCCCACATTGTAAATATATAAGCAATAAATTTAGTTATCCTCAGTTGTCTAAAAACAAATCTTATCTTGTGTGTGATACTTATGGTTAGACATTTGTTTAGCTGCTAATTTGCAGCTCATAAGGTCACTCAGCAGTGGGATAAAAATAAGAGTGTGTCTTTCTTCCAGTGCCTGCACAGGCGTGGTTGGAGTTGCTGCTGTCTGTCTGCAGGATTCCATCGTGCTTCTGTTGCTCCTGGCTCCCAGGCTACAAGGACAGTGTCCTCACTACAGAGGCCACATGTCTTCATCCCTGTCCCAGCACTGGGGTGCGTCTCATTCACTGGCAGGTCAAATTCAAATGCTGATTTCCCTTACTTTTAGGTGTGCATTTGAGAGGACAGTGAGCAAAGGGCTAAACCTTCCCTTTGTGCCCTCCAGTTAATGTGGGCCTTACAACCCATGTGCTGGCCATCACACACGAATGAAAACCATATCCTCACCCTCTTCCTCTCTCAACAGGGCTAGGTTTTGATTCTGCTTTAACAACTGTTACTGTCTCTCTACTGTTGCTCCTTATATTATCTCCTGAACAGTGGAAATTAAGAGAATACATATCTTCCTCTGTATATATTTTGCTGCCATTAGAAAGAAATAGATCCTTCTGTAGTTCTTGGAATGCATTTTAGAGGCATTAAATAATATATTCTGAATTAATAACTAATAATATGACCTTTTCTTCTTGAAAACTCATTCTTGAGTAGTATGCCAAGACGTTACCTCCCCACTTGAATGCTTGACTAGAGATCGGAGATTTGATATGGGTGTGTGTGACAGCC